GAGGGTGCATGACAGGGACTCTAGCCTATCCTGCTGCTTCTCCTTCTTACTCTGTAACCCAGCCCTAACCTCCTGGATCTGTAATGGCTGCCTCTAGTGATGTAATGGGTGGGCCAGGCCTGCTCTTAAAGGGGCCTAGGAAGGTTTAGAGATGGGTCCCTCTCTAGCAGAGAATGGAAAATGCAGTTCTGCACAGCTGTTGCCATGCAGGTGGCTGCTGCCTTGCACTGGGGAGGATTGCCCTGGACCTCAAATGGGAGTCATGAGCTGTGCCAGACTTGGAGGATGTGTTGCACTGAATTACATTGCACTGCTGTGCAACACACCAAAGAGAACTGCATTAAAGCTGGCGTGACAGCACAGAACTGTGTTGCATTCAGCTGAATTGCACTGCAGTTTCTCAATCTGGAGTGCAGTTAATTTCACTGGAATTCACACAGGGCCAAATTCTCCTCTGGATGACTCTGTACAATCTCAGTGGTGTCACTGAATCCGTTCCATGGAAGCTTTTTGTAACAATGTACTGGCCTTTAAGACCAGAGGGGATAGTTTGGGAGGCCATATACCCTGATTCCATGTGTCTGGGGACAGCAGATGAAGGCTGGAAAAATAATGGAAGTGACCATTTGGAAAGAGGAAATTGGTCCAGGGGAGCAGTTAGTGTCTGGGAGGGTGTGACAGGTTCCCCAGGTGCAACCTGGATCTGGGGTACCCTGGCATACCAACCTAGGCTCCCTCTCACACTGTGATGCTGTGACTAGCAAAAACCTCTCCAGGTACTGCACTTACACAGCCATCCACAGACAAGGACACACCCAGCTGAGTTATATGAATACTTCTCCTAGCCACTTATAAACTAACAATTGAGAGGCTCCAGTCAATTCCTCCAGCCTAGGACCCCAGGGCTGTACTGTCTTGCTCTGGTCAGAAGCCTGACCAGTGTAAGTTTATTACCCAGTCCACCCGTCCCTCAGTGTGGAGAGGACATGCACCAGCTTTTGTTCACTGAGCGGATTTCCCAAGCACTTCAACCAAAACACACTGTTTAAGGTAAAATATAAACCAGATTGATTAACTACAAAAAGATAGATTTTACGTGATTATAAGTAGTAAGCGTAGAGATCAAAGTTGGTTACTTAAGAAATAAAAGTAAAATCACAATCTGAGCTCTATAAACTAGACAGGATTTGAATCAAGCAGTGTCTCACCCTGATGGGATAGTTCCTTAATACACAAGCTGGGGTTCTCCTTTCCAGCCTGGAACCACCCTCCCCAGTTCAGTTTTTGTTCTCCAGACACGTTTCTAGGTGTTGCATTGTAGGGGAAGTGAGGCCAAGTGATGATGTCACTTCCCCTTTTTTATAGTTTCTTCCAACTTGCTGGAAAGACCCTTTGCTATGAAGTGAGTCAAGTCCATTGTCTACGAACTCTCTCTGAGAGGTCTCCATTGTATACAGTTCCTGGGATAGTCCTTGGGAGTGTGGACTCCCCTTAATATGTCATCAATGCTGTCTGGCTTCTCCACTGTTGTATCTGAAGGGCTGCTTGGGGGTGTTTCCAACTTCACAACATATTTCAGTAACACACACATAGCAAAACTTCATAACTTCCCATACAACGATAACACATACAAACCAAGAAGATATTAATGTTCAACAGGTCAAGACTTTTAGAATGATACCTTACAAGGCATACTTTGTACAAAACATATAATAATCATATCACCATGGTAAATATGGGGGTACCAGGGTATTGTTTTGGGGTACAGAGTGCCACAAAGGGGGAAGGTATTGGACCATCCCAAACCATTACTCCTTGAAGGGCCTAAGACCAGGAGCTTTGAAGAGTGGACACAGCAAAATTCCACCCTCTCCCATCCAGCACAGACAAGGTTTGGAGTTTAGACCCACCTGGGGAGGATCAAGAAACTGAACAGTGACTGGCCAGATGACTCGAGAGGAAGCTCTAAGCCCAGGAAACGGGGGAGCTGCTCAGATGGAGAGGAAGAGCTCAGCTGGGACACAGCCCTAGAGGGGAGGGCTTGTGAAACCCCTGACTCTGAGAGCAGGCCAGGCAGACCAGGACTGAAATCCCCCAGTCTCAAGAAGGAGGGCTGGGAAGCCCTGAACTTAAAGAGGGTAGCTGGTTAATTTGAATTAATTAGCCCCAAGAATGGGGGAATATTGTTCTTAAAGACTCTGGGTATAACTGGATTATTCTCAGTACATATAGGGAAACTGAGACAGGGTGCCTGGAGGGCTGTCCTAGGCCACAAGGGGCTGCTATGGGACAGCATCGATGTATAGCTTTGAACCTGCGAGCTACCAGGCACCCTCAACTACTCAGCTCCCCAAAGGCTCAAGCCCTAAATGAGAAGAGCATTTTGGCTCTGTGTTATGATGCAATTGTGTTGAAGCAGAAAGCACTCTGCTGCATTTCATTTCACTGGCTACAGTTGCATGCAGTGAGCAGCATCTCCTTGAAATGCAAGGGGTGCACTGCACTAGAGGGACAGGGTAAGTAGTGTAGCCCCTGAATTGAGATGAAGGCTGTCACATTTAATTGCACCATGTTGCAATGCGTTGGAGTAGGTCACATGGAGTAGAATTGCATTAGGATACCTGACTTGAGGGGCTGTGGGTGAAACCAGTGGTGGCAACGAGTGGCGGTACCTGACTGGAGGTGCCCATGGGTGTAACCAGGGCGGTAGGGATGGGGGATACGTGACTGAAGGGGCCCATGGGTATGACCAGGGGTAGCAGCAAGGGGGGGATACCTGACTGGAGGGGCCCATGGGGGGACTAGGGATGGCAGGGAAGTAGATATGGGGTTGGGGGCCTGTGGGTCTGATGTACCACTGCCTGGGGATACACATTGAATCCCAGTTTCTAGGGCTATCAGACCAGCTCCCCCTTGCCTTGGGGCCCCAGCCCTGGGCTGGGCTGTGGGGTTAGGGCAAGTCCCCAACACAGAGCCAGCCCTGGCTGCCACCATGCCATGGCTTCATGTGTGGCTGAACTTGTCTCCAGCAGGGAGGGAGGCGCTGTGGGCTAAGCTGAGCAGGGATTTGGGGCTCCTAAGCGTCTTAAGGCTAATGACTGAGGGAGATGAAGGGAGAGTGGTCAGTCCAGAGGACAGAGACGGCACATGGGCTGGGGGGGGGACGGCTGGGCCCCATAGGGCAGGGCAGTGGGGAAGTGCAGGGGGGCTGCAGGGAGGGGGGCAAGTGCTGTGCTCCTCCAAACTCCCCATCCCCTGGGCTAGAGCAGCCCCCTGCTGAGACTCTGACAGCAAGGTCACTTCTGTCCCAGACACCCCCACCTCACCCTATCCTTGCTGTCCCTCCCTCACTGTTGCTACGGGAGGCCTCCCCCATTCCTCCAATCTCCAGCCCCCACGGTGAGAGCATCGCTTTGTGCCCCTAGTGACTGCTTCAAATGCACACACATGTGCACACACTCAGACATACATGTGTGTGCACGCACATGGGAACTCCCACATCCATGCTGCTGTGCCTACCAGAGGGCAGCTGGTACTGGTGGGAATTGTTGCCACAGTGGGGTGGTTAAGTGGGTGGAGAGGGTGTCCTCTGGGATACATGGGGACTGCAAGGTGCTGGCAACCCAGCCCTGCCCTGGGCCTAGCTCAGAGGGACAGGGAGAGGGTATTGCAGGGTGCAATGCCGGGGGGCAGACAGGTAAGCCCTGGGCACATGCCATGGAGAGGCTCAGGGGTGAGGCTGGGTGTGTGGGTGGAATGAGATAGACCAGCTCTTGCCAGAGGATTTGTGGGCCAGTCCCGTCCTAGCATATGATGAGTCGATGGCAGCTCTCAGCCTCTCTCCCTGGAGCTGGATTCTTGCTGGGGACCGCCCCGTTCAGTGGGTGATGAGTCTGCCTGGTCTCAATCCATCTGCCCCCCTCTCTCTACCCCCTGTGGGGCCAGCCCTTTGGCCCCTTGCTTAGCACCATTAACATTGTGACATTCGGGGGCTGATTTTGAGGGGGACCCCCCTTGTAGGTGAACTTCTCTCCCTCCCATTGCAACATGAGAGGGTGTGGCCAGATGAGAAGTGAATGCACGGACCAGACTGTGGAGACCAAACTTCAGTAATAGGTGACTGAGTAGCAGAACTGAAGGCACCAAATTAGGGGTCAGGGGGGTTATCTTGGTTCCCACAGGAAATGGGCTGGTGTGTGAATCCGGTAGGAGGGTAATGATTAACCCTAAATGTGCTGCTCTGACGTAAGAACGGGGGCACGCCTGTGGGGAGGTGGCCAGACCCAATCCCCTTGGATCAAGATGTGGGCTGGGGGAAGGAAAGTTGTTTGCTGGATGGATGTGTCTTTAAAGGGAGGATGTGAGGTGAAGGGGGTGTGGAGGAGGTAGAAGAGAGTTAAGGGTTTAGAAGGTTAAAGGGGCAGAGACATAGAAAGGTAAATGAGGGCAAAGCCAGGGCTTCTGGCAGGGGCTGAGACTTGACACAGCTTGTTGCACATGCAAGGCACATTGGCAAAGGATCCCCCACCCCACCCAGGAGAGATGGGTCGGGGGAGCAGAGATGGGCAGGTCACCCCAGAATTGTCTCACTCTGCATCATTAGCAACACTCTTGACTGGGTCTGTGACTAGTGCCAGCTTGCTGGGGGAAGAGCCAGTGCTGGGGCAGTGCCAGTGTCTGCTCTCCAGTGCCTGGGCCAGAGGCAGTGCCCGGTCCCCAGTGCCAGGGCAGAGGCAGTGCCTGGTCCACAGTGACTGTGCCCAGTCTGGTGCCAGCCTTCTCTCTTCAATCCCAGCCCTGGGTCCCAGTTCCCAGTCTCCAGTGCCCACTTCCCCCTCCCTCCATGCCTGCTTCCTCCTTGTTAACAGCTGCCTCTAATTGTGGGGAGAAGAGGGGAGGGCACTCTGGGTTAGCAGCATAACATGACAGGAGTCAATCGTTAACCCCCCCTCCCCACCTTCTCCTCTGCTCAGTATATAAGGCAGCCAGGAGCTGGGAAGAGCTGCTCCTTAAGGGAACCTGTGCCCATCTCTCCCTGCAGGTGCCCGTGTCTGTCTCTCCCTTGAGGCACCCGTCTCTCCCTGCAGTCACCCCAAGAGGGGCTTGTGCCCATATCCCGCATCATCTGGTGTTCTCTGCCGCCCCCCAGCCATGGCCTTTGGAGACCTCCTGGAGAAGGTGGGCAGTGCAGGTCCCTTCCAGCTCCTCTGTGTTCTGCTGCTCACCGCGCCTGCCCTTCTCATTGCCAGCCACAACCTGGTGCAGAACTTCAGTGCCGCCTCCCCTGAGCACCAGTGCCGCCCTCCGCCACCGGGCACCAATGCCAGCTGGGTGGGCAACACCACTGCAGCTCGTGGGGGGCTCTCCCTGGTCCCGAGCCCAGAACGGTGCTGTTGCTTGGTGGGCACCCATGGGCAGCATCCAAGATCCAACAGTTCGCTGGGCAGGGCAGGCGAGACAGAACCCTGCCGGGACGGATGGTACTACGACCGCAGCACCTTCTCCTCCACCATCGTCACTGAGGTATGGCTGATAGCCCCCCTTCTTCCCTGCTGCCCCAAGGCAGAGCCATGGGATGGGGGCAGGGAGGGGGGACCCACGTAGGGGGATGGGATAGAGTGGGGATTGTGGGGAGAGAGGGGGAGGGGAGGTGGGAGATGAAGAGGGGCGGGAACTGGGAGGACGGTAGGGGAGAGAGAGGATGGGGAGAGTTGGGGAGGGGGCCAGAGAAGGGTGTGGGAGAAGGTTGGGTGCTGGGGGTTACATGGCTATGGAGTTCCAGTCCCTCAGGTCAAGCCACTGATTGGGAGGGGGCCCCCTGGGGGCGCCATACCCCGTCTCTGTGGGCACTGACTGTCCGTCTGTCTGCCAGTGGGATCTGGTGTGTGATCTGGGCCCCCTCCCGGCGCTGGCGCAGACGCTGTTCATGGCAGGGGTGCTGCTTGGAGCCCTCCTTTTTGGAGTCTTCTCGGACAGGTGGGTGACGGGGGGTGTCCCCCTGAAACTAATGTCCCCCACCCTGGCTCAGATCCCCTCTTCCTGCTGCCCTGGCTCAGACCAATGGGCCCATCCAGCTCAATATTCCCCCACGCCCCGGATCAGACCAATGGGCCCATCCAGCCTGGTATCCCCTCTACCCACTCCCCCCACCCCAGATCAGACCAATGGACCCATCCAGCCCAGTGTCCCCCCCCGCCCCTGCCATCCTGGCTCAGACGCATGGTCCAATGCTCGGTCATTCCATGACGCATGGAAACACTCCCTGGGTTGAGATGCACCCTACGCTTGCGAGTGGTTTACTCCTCACTTGTCGCTGGCTGGTTAGTGATGCTCAGCTCTCCACCACTGCCTGTTAACCATGGGTTGTGGGTGACAACCCCGGCTGTCAGCGAAGACACGTCCGTCGCTGATCGGCGCTCGGCACTCAGCCAACAGGCGTTAGCAAGGGCTGGTTATTAACAAGGGGGTCCCACGCTTTGCTGCTTCTGTTGGCCCAGCACTTGTACACACTGTGCATCCCTCCATCCCCCTGCACAGCTCCCTCTGCTGCATCCAGCCCCCTCTAGTTCAGGGACTCGCTGCAAGCCCCCTACTGCCTCCCTCATGCCAGGGTCACCCATTGTCCCCCAGTGCCAGGGGCTGTGGGCATACCCTCTCCCCCCCCATGTTCCTTTATTTACCCTCCCCTCACTGTTATTTGTCTGGGAGATGTCATTTCTCCCCCCCTTACACTCTGTTGGGAGGATGGGCAGAGCCGAGATGGAGTGTTGTCATGCTGCTAGTGCATTCATTGGTGGCCTCAGCCAGTTTTTTGATCTCGGGTGCTTGACTCTGTGGCTCTGCTAAAATGCTGCTGGGGCTCCGGATACCATCCATTTCCCTCTTCCAGTTGTGCCCAAATTCCCCATAGGGTTTTAGCCAGGGATGGGCAATTTGCCCCAAGGGCCACATCTGGGAATAGAAATTGTATGGCGGGCCATGAATGCTCACGAAATTGGGGGTTGGGGTGTGGGAGAGGGTGAGGGCTCTGGTGGGGGTGCAGACTCTGGGGTGGGGCCAGAAATGAGGAGTTCAGGGTGCGGGAGGGAGCTCCAGGCTGGGGCAGAAGGCTGGGGGGGGAGGTGAGGGCTCTGGTTGGGGGTACGGGCTCTGGAGTGGGGCTGGGAATGAGGGGTTGGGGGTGCAGGAGGGTACTCCAGGCTAGGACCGAGAGCAGGAGAGTGATCAAGGCTGGGGCAGGGGATTGGGGCCCGGGAGAGGGGCGGGGGGGCAGGCAGGGCCGGCTCTGGCTTTTTTGCCCCAGGCAGAGCCCGGAGCGCGGCAGGGGAGGGCGCCGAGCCTGCTGTGGTTCCGCTGGCGGACGGAGCTCTGGGAGGAGGGCAGAGAGCCTGGCCGGGGCTCTGCTCTCCCCGGCGGCCAGAGCGCCCAGGGGAGGGCGGCGAGCCGGCCGGGGCTCCGCTTTCCCCGGCGTCCAGAGCACCGGGAGTAGGGCGGAGAGCCCGGCTGGAGCCTCCTCTCTCCCCCGGCGGCCAGAGCGCCCAGGGGAGGGTGGCGAGCCGGCCGGGGCTCCGCTCTCCC